GGGGCTCCAGGAGAGCTGCAGAGGGACTGGGGACAAGGAACAGAGGGACAGCACACAGGGAATGGCTCCCACTGGCAAAGGGGAGATTGGGCTGGGATCTTGGCAAGGAATTCCTGGCTGGGAGGGTGGGCAGGGGCTGGGCTGGAATTCCCAGAGCAGCTGTGGCTGCCCTGGATCCCTGGCAGTGCCCAAGGACATTGGTGCTTGGATCCACCTGGGGCAGTGAGAGCTGTCCCTGCCATGGATTGGGTAGAATTGATGATTTTTAAGGTCCCTTCCATCCCAGCCCATTCCATGATAACCATGCATGAGTTACTCCCCAGCTCTGTCCCCCACAGGATGAAGAATTTACCTCCCCCCGTTATTTCCAGGGAATTTTAGTGACCCCTCATTCCAGGCTGCTCCCCCTCGCTGCCCCCATCCCTGAATTTGGGCAGGGCAGGAGCAGCCAAGCCCCACCACCCCCAGAGCCTGGCTGGGTTCTCCAGCTGGGAATACTGGGAGGAGGAGGAGGAGGAAGGGCTGGAACTGGTGAGGAAAACACCAGGAGAGCCACAGGATTCCCTTGCAGTGGAAGATGGAGAAGTGTTTTGGTTTTGTGTAGGAGATATTGATGGAAGGGATGTAAAGTTTTTGGAGAAGTGTTCTGAAGATTTGCTCTAATTTTTATTCATTTTCTTTTAGTTCCTGTTAATAAATTTTTCTTTATACCCTTTAAAAACTTTAAACCTACTTTACCTTTCTCCTAATTCTATCTCATAGCAAAAAATAAGTACACTAATAATTAACCAACACTAAAGCCACCACACTCATTAGTACATTAGCACTAATGTACTCATTAGTACATTAACCAAATATTGCAAAATTAGCAAAATTTCAAATTGGCAAACAAAAACCACCAAGAAGGAACAGAGCCACAGGAGCAGGAGGGACAGATAGAGCAGAGCTGTGGATTGGGAAGGATGGAAATACAAAAATACAGAAGTTTCTCCAACCAGAAGAGCAAAAAAGGCACTGAAATGATGGAAATTTCTCCAAGTTTTTCACCTAAAATCCACAGATGTGGTTGGACATCCACATCCCTCCTCATCCATCAGCACAGAGCCAGGAGATTGGAATCCTCTGCCAGAAACCTGAGCATGGAACTGGAAACTACCAGACAACACCTCCACCCTGTGATGTCCCTAAAATTGATAAATCTCCTTCAGGGGATAAAAAAAGATAAAATAATTGCATAAAGTGTTCCCTGCATTAACTGGACACCAAAAAGAAATGGAATTCCTGCTCCTTCCCAGCCACAGGACCAAGGGAGGATCTTCCCAAAGCTCTGCCTCCACAAGGAACTAAAGGAGAAATTCCAAAGGGAATTCTGCTCTAGGAATTGGTGCCTCAGGTAAATCCAGCACCTGGAGGCCTCCCAGACATCACCCCGTGCACAGCTGGAAGCACATCTGGATTGGGAAGGGTTTCTGCACCTTCAGGAAGTCACATCTGGATTGGGAAGGGTTTCTGCACCTTCAGGAAGTTTAAACTGAATAAAAAGTTTGCTGAACTCTCAGGTGCCAACTGGTCCCTCCCCACAGCTCCATTCCATGAGGGAAGGCTGGGTTTGCCAAATCCCACCTGTGTCATGGCGTCTCTGTGATCCCAATTTCATCAAATGCTCCCAAATCCCACCTGTTTCATGACAGTCTCTCTGATCCCAATTCCACCAAACGCCCCCAAATCCCACCTGTTTCATGGCGGTCTCACCAATCTTCATTCCCACCAAACGCCCCCAAATCCCACCTGTTTCATGGCGGTCTCGCACCCCATTCCCACCAAATGGGCCCAAATCCCACCCCAGTTCCATCAAACAACGCCAAATCCCACCCATGTCATGGCAGTCTCACCAATCTTCATTCCCATCAAACGTCCCCAAATCCCACCCGTTTCATGGCGGTCTCGCACCCCATTCCCACCAAACGGGCCTAAATCCCACCCCATTCCCACCAAACGGGCCCAAATCCCACCAGTTTCATGGCGGTCTCACCAATCTTCATTCCCACCAAACACCCCCAAGTCCCACCTGTTTCATGGCGGTCTCGCACCCCATTCCCACCAAACGGGCCCAAATCCCACCCCAATTCCACCAAACGCCACCAAATCCCACCAGTTTCATGGCGGTCTCACCAATCTTCATTCCCATCAAACACTCCCAAATCCCACCTGTTTTATGGCAGTCTCACCAACCTTGATTCCCACCAAACGGGCCCAAATCCCACCTGTTTCATGGCGGTCTCACCAATCTTCATTCCCACCAAACTCCCCCAAATCCCACCTGTTTCATGGTGGTTTCACTGATCTAAATTCCCAACAAATGGCCCCAAATCCCACCTGTTTCATGGTGGTTTCACTGATCTAAATTCCCAACAAATGGCCCCAAATCCCCCCTGTTTCATGGCAGTCTCACACCCCATTCCCAGCAAACACCCCCAAATCCCTGTTTCATGGCGGTCTCTCCGATCTCAATTCCCACCAAATGCTCCCAAATCCCAGCTGTTTCATGATGGTCTTGCCAACCTTGATTCCCACCAAACGCTCCCAAATCCCACCTGTGTCATGGCGTCTCTGTGATCCCAATTTCATCAAATGCCCCCAAATCCCACCCGTTTCATGGCGGTCTCACCAATCTTCATTCCCACCAAACGCCCCCAAATCCCACCTGTTTCATGGCGGTCTCACCAATCTTCATTCCCACCAAACGCCCCCAAATCCCACCTGTTTCATGGCGGTCTCACCAATCTTCATTCCCACCAAACGCCCCCAAATCCCACCTGTTTCATGGCGGTCTCTCTTATCCCAGTTCCCACCAAATGCCCCCAAATCCCACCTGTTTCATGGCGGTCTCGCACCCCATTCCCACCAAATGGGCCCAAATCCCACCCAGTTCCATCAAACAATGCCAAATCCCACCCATGTCATGGTGGTCTCACCAATCTTCATTCCCACCAAACACTCCCAAATCCCACCTCTTTCATGGTGGTCTCTCTTATCCCAATTCCCACCAAATGCCCCCAAATCCCACCTGTTTCATGGTGGTTTCACTGATCTAAATTCCCAACAAATGGCCCCAAATCCCACCTGTTTCATGGCCATCTCACCACTCTTGATTCCCACCAAATGCTCCCAAATCCCACCTGTTTCATGGTGGTCTCTCTGATCCCAATTCCATCAAACATCCCCAAATCCCACCTGTTTCATGATGGTCTTGCCAACCTTGATTCCCATCAAACGCCCCCAAATCCCACCCGTTTCATGGCGGTCTCACCAATCTTCATTCCCATCAAACACCCCCAAATCCCACCTGTTTCATGACAGTCTCTCTGATCCCAATTCCACCAAACGGGCCCAAATCCCACCTGTTTCATGGCGGTCTCACCAATCTTCATTCCCATCAAACACTCCCAAATCCCACCTGTTTCATGGCTGTCTCACCAACCTTGATTCCCACCAAACGCCCCCAAATCCCGCCTGTTTCATGGCGGTCTCTCCGATCTTGTCCGAGTGCTTGCGGATGCTCTCCAGGAAGTCCTTGAGGTCGGACATGGAGAGCTCCTTGATCTCCTCGCGCAGCCGCGGGATGTTGTCCACCATCACCTTGCAGAAGCGGTAGTGGCTCACCTGGGGCAGGAAGGTGTGCTCCAGGTGCTCCAGGGTCTTCAGGGCCGGGTAGTGCCTGGGGGAGCAGGGAAAGGTCAGGAGCAGCCTGCTGGAACCCTGCTCTGCTGGCTTTTTGTGGGAACCCGGGGCACAGGGAATGTTTCTCTGCTTGTCCTGAGAAACCCTGAGCCCCAGGAGAACGCTGCTTTAACCTTCATCCATGGAGAAAGCTTCCAAGGCCTTGGGATGGATTGGAATCTATGAGTGTGAAATACAGTAATATAGTTTATCACAGGGTGAAAAACTTAAAGAGTTTTGGGTGTTTAGTATGGAGGTGGATAGAAGACAAGAGGGAGGATTTTGGGCATTGTCTCATCTCCTTCTTGCTCTTCATCTGCTCCATTTTCTGCAGTGTGATTGGTCACAAAGAACCACGATGCAGATGTTGTGTGAACAGACAAATAATTAGTTATTGGTAGAAAGCTAGAAATAAAATCCATTCTAAGAGTTAATTGGACAAAACAGTTTTAAAAAACCTTAAACCTGTGTGTCTTGTATCTTTTTTAGTACCTTTCTCTTTATATCCTAATATGTAGATGGCATGCTGAACTGCTGATAAGAGAAAAAATAAACAACCTGGAAACCAAAATAACCAAAAGTCCCGTTCATCTCTCAACTCTAGCACAGAACTTTTTAAAACTCTCCCCATCAGGGGAACCTCAGGGGGTGTTCTCACAGTTTTGGTTCACCAATTTGTGATTTTGCCAGTTTTGAGGAGTGGTGGGTTCAGGGCTGGCCAATCCCTGCTGTGAGACAGGATTAGGAGAAAGGCAAAGCAGGCTCAAAACCTTAAAAGGGTATAAAGGAAAATTTGTTATCAATTATTTTATGATCAGCTTTGCATCGCTTCCCCAAATGTCCCCTGTGCAAAACCATGACACCAGGTTAATGAGAATTTTAGGTTTTTTGTGCTAACAGGCACCGACCCCAAAAAAACCCTACATTTAACCTGAGGCTGTTAAAAAAGCTTCCAAAATTAAATAATACAATTAAAATTCTAAGTGTGCAGTTTAAATAGAAGTGTGTAATATCACACAGTAGAAAACTCGTTTCATGGCGGTCTCACCAATCTTCATTCCCACCAAACACCCCCAAGTCCCACCTGTTTCATGGCGGTCTCGCACCCCATTCCCACCAAACGGGCCCAAATCCCACCCCAATTCCACCAAACGCCACCAAATCCCACCAGTTTCATGGCGGTCTCACCAATCTTCATTCCCGTCAAACACTCCCAAATCCCACCTGTTTTATGGCAGTCTCACCAACCTTGATTCCCACCAAACGCCCCCAAATCCCACCTGTTTCATGGCGGTCTCTCCGATCTTGTCCGAGTGCTTGCGGATGCTCTCCAGGAAGTCCTTGAGGTCGGACATGGAGAGCTCCTTGATCTCCTCGCGCAGCCGCGGGATGTTGTCCACCATCACCTTGCAGAAGCGGTAGTGGCTCACCTGGGGCAGGAAGGTGTGCTCCAGGTGCTCCAGGGTCTTCAGGGCCGGGTAGTGCCTGGGGGAGCAGGGAAAGGTCAGGAGCAGCCTGCTGGAACCCTGCTCTGCTGGCTTTTTGTGGGAACCCGGGGCACAGGGAATGTTTCTCTGCTTGTCCTGAGAAACCCTGAGCCCCAGGAGAACGCTGCTTTAACCTTCATCCATGGAGAAAGCTTCCAAGGCCTTGGGATGGATTGGAATCTATGAGTGTGAAATACAGTAATATAGTTTATCACAGGGTGAAAAACTTAAAGAGTTTTGGGTGTTTAGTATGGAGGTGGATAGAAGACAAGAGGGAGGATTTTGGGCATTGTCTCATCTCCTTCTTGCTCTTCATCTGCTCCATTTTCTGCAGTGTGATTGGTCACAAAGAACCACGATGCAGATGTTGTGTGAACAGACAAATAATTAGTTATTGGTAGAAAGCTAGAAATAAAATCCATTCTAAGAGTTAATTGGACAAAACAGTTTTAAAAAACCTTAAACCTGTGTGTCTTGTATCTTTTTTAGTACCTTTCTCTTTATATCCTAATATGTAGATGGCATGCTGAACTGCTAATAAGAGAAAAAATAACCTGGAAACCAAAATAACCAAAAGTCCCGTTCATCTCTCAACTCTAGCACAGAACTTTTTAAAACTCTCCCCGTCAGGGGAACCTCAGGGGGTGTTCTCACAGTTTTGGTTCACCAATTTGTGATTTTGCCAGTTTTGAGATTTCCCAGCCCAATGCATGGAGGAGTGGTGGGTTCAGGGCTGGCCAATCCCTGCTGTGAGACAGGATTAGGAGAAAGGCAAAGCAGGCTCAAAACCTTAAAAGGGTATAAAGGAAAATTTGTTATCAATTATTTTATGATCAGCTTTGCATCGCTTCCCCAAATGTCCCCTGTGCAAAACCATGACACCAGGTTAATGAGAATTTTAGGTTTTTTGTGCTAACAGGCACTGACCCCAAAAAAACCCTACATTTAACCTGAGGCTGTTAAAAAAGCTTCCAAAATTAAATAATACAATTAAAATTCTAAGTGTGCAGTTTAAATAGAAGTGTGTAATATCACACAGTAGAAAACTCAGAATTTAAAGTCTTAGAATACAGTAATATATATAAAACAAGATGAAAGTTTTAAAGCAAAAGCTAGTCCTTCTTCACCTTCTTCATAAGTTTAAGCAGTATTGTATAATTAAATAAAAAGTCCACATTACAAATCACAAGTAATTAATTATTGTGCTAAAAGTAAAAATAATTTAAGTGTCATTTCCTAATTAAACAGTTTATCCTTAAAAGACCTTGCACAGGGAGAGATACAACTCCATTTTTTAATTTGTTAACGTAAAGCACTACAAAACTCACAGTTCATGAGCCTGTAAAATAAGAACACCTAATAAACATCCCCACCCAAACAAAAAACACCACCTCACACGTTTAATCCCACCCCTAACAGAAAAAAGAAGTTACAACTCAACTCACAGTTGAGTTCCACCCCATTCCTGGAAGGTGGAGCAGCTGGAGGTTGTCCAGCCCAAGGCAGCCCTGGTAACAGTGGGATCATGGAATGCTGGGGTGGGGAGGGGTCTCCAAACCCATCCCCTTCATGGGGGAAGTGCTTTAAGTTAACAAATTAAAAAATGGAGTCTTCTTCTACAAGGACTTTTAAGGATAAACTGTTTAATTAATTACTTAAATTATTTCTACTTTTAGCACAATAATTAACTACTTGTGATTCGTAATGTGGACTTTTTATTTAATTATACAATACCACTTAAACTTCCAGCAGCCCCTGCCAGGAGATGGAATCCTGGAGCTGGGAATATCCCATCAATCCTACAGACTGATAACTCATTAACTGATTTATTAATTATCACCCACGAGCTGCTGCCGGCCTTGCAAAGAGCCTGGAGGAGCAAGCTCAGCTCCTTCCCCTGGGATCTGATCCCACTTTCCCCGTAACAGTGGGATCATGGAATGCTGGGGTGGGGAGGGGTCTCCAAACCCATCCCCTTCATGGGGGAAGTGCTTTAAGTTAACAAATTAAAAAATGGAGTCTTCTTCTACAAGGACTTTTAAGGATAAACTGTTTAATTAATTACTTAAATTATTTCTACTTTTAGCACAATAATTAACTACTTGTGATTCGTAATGTGGACTTTTTATTTAATTATACAATACCACTTAAACTTCCAGCAGCCCCTGCCAGGAGATGGAATCCTGGAGCTGGGAATATCCCATCAATCCTACAGACTGATAACTCATTAACTGATCCATTAATTATCACCCACGAGCTGCTGCCGGCCTTGCAAAGAGCCTGGAGGAGCAAGCTCAGCTCCTTCCCCTGGGGATTCCAGGATCTGATCCCACTTTTCCACTCCTGAACCCCACCAAAACCACTTCCCACCCAAAGCAATTTTATTTACAGAGAGGGGGAAAAACCGGATCCAAATCCTGGATCAGGGATCCAACAGATCCATGTCTGCCATCACCCGTGACCTTCTCCACGCTGCAGCACCACATTCCAGCACGGAGAAGGGCAGGGATGCAAGGGTTGGCCTTCTCCATCCCAAAATGAACATCTGATACCTTTAAAAATGCAGGAATCCCACGGATAAAGAACTCCTTTTGATTTTTGGCCATGCCCAACTCAGTTTGATTCTCCTTTTCTGCATGAAAGCAAATTTCAGATGCCAAATGGGAAATTGAGCTGGGAAATTCATTCTTTTCAAATGAATCTTTTTCCTTTGGAAAGTGGGAATGTGTAGGATTTACTGGAATATGGAACCACCACAGATTCAAGACCATCCTCCTGTCCTGGCCACAGCTCTGGCCAAAGGGAAAAATAATTAAAAAGGAATCACCCAGAAAGCATTAGGAGGGCTTAATAACATAATAAAATCATAGATCATAAATACATTATATTTTATATATATTATCAATTTATTAACTTTTAATTCATTAACAAATTAACTAATTCATTTATTAACCTAATTTATGATTTGGCTGTATTATTATAGATTTAAAATCAAATAATTGTTTCTTATATATTAATAATTAATTCAAATAATATATGATAAATATTATATATTATACTATTAAATAATCATTTATGATTAATAAATCTCATGTCAGCCACTTTGAGGAGGAATTAAGGGAAAGTTAGCTGACACATCCATGGGTAATCCTGGGCACTTCCAGCTGGAATTTTGGGGGAGAAACAGTCTTTGGTCATAAAAAAGAAATGAACACCACAGAAAAAACCTGACACTTGTATTCCCACTCAGAATAACTCCTGCCTGAACTCCAGGGAATTCTGTCCTGGGCTCACCCCCAGCCTGGGGGTTGGCATTTCTGCTGAAATCCAACCCTCTGCAGAGAACCATGGGAATGCCTCTGGATCGCGAATTAATCACTAATTAATTAATTATCCCGAGGGATAAACACCCCCTGGGTGTTCATCAGGGAATTCTCAGGTCCCATTCCTCCCACACACCCCCTAATTTTGGTCCTATTATTTAATTTTGGAAGGTTTTTTTAGGAGCAGCTCCGGGATGGGAGCTGAGCTCTGTCCCAGCTCCGTGACCCCGGAGCTGAGGGGGAAAAACAGGATTTGGATAAAATCCAGGGCCAGAGGGGCCTTTTTGGGGTGATTTTACTGTTCCTGCTGGGATGAACATTCCCAGAGAATTCCTGAGTGTTCTCATGGAGCATCCAGGTGTACAAGGAACCTGCAGAGGGACTGGGGACAAGGCCTGCAGGGACAGCACACAGGGAATGGCTCCCACTGGCAAAGGGCAGATTGGGCTGGGATCTTGGCAAGGAATTCCTGGCTGGGAGGGTGGGCAGGGGCTGGGCTGGAATTCCCAGATTTTCTGGGGCTGCCCCTGGATCCCTGGCAGTGCCCAAGGCCAGGCTGGAGCACCCTGGGGTGTGGAAGTTGTGCAGTTGGGTGATCTTTGGGGTCTCCTCCATCCCAAACCCTTCCAGGATTTTACAATTCCATTTCTCACTGTTTGGAGACCACACAGAGCCGAGGTAAATAAAAAGGTCTGATCCCTCCAGAGTCTCCAGATTCCCTCCAGGAATTTTGGGGTTTTCCACCATTTTCCACACAGCCACGGCAAAAAAAAAAAAGATTTTCTGTCCCTCCCTTAAATTCTGGCCAAGTCAGAGAAAAATTCCCTCTCTCCACCCTGATCATTCCTCTGGGATCAGCTCCACCTCCAGCTCCTGGCCATGGATTCTCCATTTGGGAAATGCCTGAGCTGGTTTAGAATCATCCCCTGACTCCTCCTTCTGTGGAGTTTATTGTCCCAAACACAAATCAGACCAATCCCAACCCCAGCCCTGATGGCAGAACCCCCCATGAAACGATCCAAGTGAGACCTGGAGCAGATAAAAACCATGGATAAAATCAGATAAAAACCTGGAGCAGATAAAACCTTGTGTTGTGTCTGGTGAATGGAGCCATCAAATCCAGACCAAAAAAAAAAAAAACCAGAAAAAAAGCCAGCCAGGGCTCCCAATATTCCTGAAATGTGGATTTCAGTGTGGGTTTGTTTCTAAATGAACCAATCCAAATAAGGGAGGGAAAAAAGGGATGCAGTTTTTAGCTGCAGCCCCTGGAAATGCTGCCCAGAGGGAGGCACGGAGCAGCTGGTGGATTCCCTGCAGGAATTCCCAGGGATCAGCTCCAACTCTCACCCCACATCTGCCAGCAGACCAGCCCCAAAATCAGCCCTGGGACATTTGGAGAGCCCATCCCTCCCCTGGAGTGGCCTGGGAAGAGGCAGGAGCTCCTGGCAATCCCAGAGCAGGGCTGGGATTGCTTTTCCAGCCTGGCACCCAGCTGCAGGCACCTTTTCCCCCTTCAGCAGCTGCTCCGTGCCCAGTTTGCCACCCCAGGGCTCCAAAATCGCTCCCTGCTGCTCAAACTAACCAGGATTCCTGGTGAGTATCCCAGATTTTCATCCCTCAGCAGGTGCAGTGTGGGGAGACTCCTGGATTTGCAGCCCAGCATTCCCAAGGCACCAAGTTTTGAGGAATTAAGTCTACAGCAGCAGAAGTTTTCTCCCCAACTCCCACCATCCCGATGTTTCCAGTTCTTTGCATTCCCCCCACATTCCCTGGGATCTCTCAGATTGGATTAAGATTTGGTTTATGGCATTCATGAATAAAATTTAGCCTTGGTTGCACGCACAATACTGAGTTACCATAAAAAGCCAAGGAGCATCCACCTTAATTCCCAAAATCTGACCCTGCTGCCATCCCCATCTCAGCTGTACCACAGGAGGCTGAGCAGGGCTGTGAGGAAAAGCAGCCAAAACCCAGGAAATTCAACCTGGAAAAGCTGGTTTTGAACTGCTGAGATTCTCCTTAAATCACCCAGCACCAAACAATCCCTTGGACTCTGCCCCTAAAAGCCCAGCTCAGCCCAGATTTACCTCTTGGATTTCATCTGCTCCCGCAGCTTGCTGTACATCTCCAGCACTGGGAAGAGAAGGAAAACACAGCTCTGAGACAGGAGCACGCAGCTGGGAATCCAAAAAGCAAATAAAAAATTGGGGATTCCACCAAAGAGCTCCAAAAAGGAGGAGCTGCTCACCAGGGAGACACAGGGTGAGTTTATCCACCGTGGCCGAGATGTTCCTCTGCTGCAGCCGGCACTGCCTCAGCTCCTCCATGGCCAGGATCAGCTGGAAAAGGGGGAAAAGCTCCCTCAGGATCAGCAAAGAACCCTGGGCTCCATCCCAAGAGCAGCACGAGCCCCAAACCCTGCTCTGATACGCAGCGAGCTCGGGATCGGGGCAGCTCCAGCCAGGGGAACTTCCCTGAATTCCCTGGATTTCAAACAGGGAGCAGAAAAAACCAAAGGCATGGAAGCGGCCTTGGAGCACATCCTGTGGATTCCAAAATGTTATTTCCCCTTCCCATTTTAGGCATCTCTTCCAAGTTTTTTGGTTCTCAAAGGCAGGATGTGGCCGCTCGCTCCCGGGGGATTCTCCTCATCCCAAAGTTAACAGGGATTTCGTGAGGCTCCAGGAGAAAATCCTGGGATGTGGACAAAGGAAAACAGGGACACAGGGCCAGGTTGTACAGGGAATTCTCACATCCCAAAGTTAACAGGGATTTCGTGAGGCTCCAGGAGAAAATCCTGGGATGTGGACAAAGGAAAACAGGGACACAGGGCCAGGTTGTACAGGGAATTCTCACATCCCAAAGTTAACAGGGATTTCGTGAGGCTCCAGGAGAAAATCCTGGGATGTGGACAAAGGGGAAGACAGGGATACAAGGCCAGGCTGGACAGGGAATTTTTGTTTCCCAAGCTAAAACTGATTTCTCAGTGCTCAGATTCCAAGAAAAAAAAGTGGGATGTGGAAAAAGGAAAACAAGGATACAAGGTCAGGTTGGACAGGGAATTGTCACATCCCAAAGCTTAAAGGGATTATTCTGTGTTCAGACTCCAAGAGAAAAATCTGGGATGGGGATAAGGGAAAAACAAGGATACAAGGCCAGGTTGGACAGGGAATTTTCCTCATTTCAAGCTAACAGGGATTTCTCAGGGCTCAGGCTCCAGAGAAATCCTGAGGATGTGGAAAAGGGAAAAACAAGGATACAAGGAGGGAATGCTCACATCCTACAAGTAACAGGGATTTCTCAGTGCTCAGGTTCCAGAGAAAATCCTGGGATGGGGACAAGGGCAAAACAAGGATACAAGGCCTGGCTGGACAGGGAATTGTCACATCCCAAAGCTTAAAGGGATTATTCAGTGTTCAGACTCCAAGAGAAATCCTGGGGATGGGGAAAAGGGAAAAACAAGGATACAAGGAGGGAATTCTCACATCCCAAAATTATCAGTGATTTCTCAGGGCTCAGACTCCAAGAGAAATCCTGGGATGGGGACAAGGGGAAAACAGGGATACAAGGCTGGACAGGGAATTCTCACATCCCAAAGCTTAAAGGGATTATTCAGTGTTCAGACTCCAAGAGAAATCCTGGGATGGGGAAAAGGGAAAAGCAAGGACACGAGGCCAGGCTGGACAGGGAATTCTCCCTCCCACGGCATCCAGGCTGTAATTCCAGGACTGCATCCATCACTTACTTCTTTCCCTTCGTTCTGCAGCTTCCGGTTGGTGTCTGTCACTTGGTTCTGTGGGAATATTGGGAAAAGCACAAAGCACATCCCATAAATCAGGACAATGTTCTTGCCACCAAAACAAACTGTCCATAAACACCATCCCTCCCCACGGCTCCCATTCCATGGAAAAGCTGTTTATGGCTGAGTTAACAGCCACTGCCACTGGGGGACAAATCCAGGGATTTTCCTCTTTGCCACTGGAGAAAAGGGAAAGGCAACAGGAATTAATTCAGAGGCATGGAAGCCTCAAAACGCTGGAGTTTTCATGGATGCAGTTTGGAAAACTCCAGTTTTGACCTGAGTGAGGGAGGAATTCATTCCCTTTTAGGAAGGTTTTAACTCCTTCCTATCCCAGCAGCAGAAGATCCTTTACCTGGAGCATTCCCTAGAAATAATTATTTGTATTTATGGAATTTCTTATAAAACTTCCTTTGGGATCTTCATCTCCCTCTGGATGGATCCTTGCTCCTGCCTGGTGTAAGCTATTTTTATATACCTGGGATAAAAAATTCCCTATTTTTTCTGGATTATCCCACCAAGCTGGGGTTCAGAGCTGGAACATTTCCCACTTGGCAAAGCTGAGGATTCCCTGGAGTGGGAAGAGCCCAGCCCTCCCCAGCCCCAGCAGGACCCTCAGGAGAACAAAGGGGATTTTGGGGCTCATCAGGATGGAAAATCAGGAGTTGTCCCATTATTCAGCCAAGGAGTGGGAAGAGAACTTGGGAATTCTCCTGAGTTCAGGCAGGGAAGGGCTGGAAACCCTGGGACAGCTGGAAAAACCAACACAAACTTCCAAGGCAACATTCCCAGCTCCAGATCTCTGCCACCACAGCCAATTCCAGAGGGAATTCCAGCAGGACTGCTCAGGGTTCTGAGTTTTCACATCACTCTGAGATTTCCATGCCATAAAACCCCTTTTTTTCCCCAAAAATCTCCTTCTGCAGCTCCTAAAGCTGGGAATGTTCATTTCCAGGCTCGTTCTGGTAAAAGGTTTTTTTTGACCCAGGCTCTCCCCACAGTGGGAGCTGCTGCTGCATTCCTGCCCCATTTTAGGAACAAATTCCTGCCTGGTTTCCAGAGTTCTGCTCCTTCTGGAAGCAGAACCTTCCCCAGAGCTTGGAAAACACCACGAGCTGGGAAACAGAGCCCTCAAAGGACTTCCAGGAGTGGGAGATCTCACAGATCCACCCAAGGGCTTTGCTTCCTTTGGAATAATCATGGAAACGAGGATTTTTAACAAATTTCACCCCAGGGAAGGAACAGCACATGGGGCTCTCCCAATCTCCAGCAGGATGGGGATGGAGGAGCAGGAGGAGCTCCAAGGGGCATTGGGAAGGTAAAAACCATCCTGGAGCAGAAATCCAGCAGGGAGCAGCTGAGGGAGCTGGGAAGGGGCTGCAGAATTCCTGAGGGAGCTGGGAAGGGGCTGGAGAATTTCTGAGGAGCTGGAAGGGGCTGGAGAATTGCTGAGGAGCTGGGAAGGGGCTCAGCCTGGAGCACAGGAGGCTCAGGGGTCCTTGTGGCTCTGCACAGCTCCTGCCAGGAGGGGACAGCCGGGAGGTCGGGCTCTGCTCCAGGGAACAGGGACAGGAGCAGAGGGAACGGCCTCAGGGGAGCCTCAGGGTGGATTTTTGGGAATATTCCTCATGGGAAGGGCTGCCCAGCATTGGAAGGGGCTGCCCAAAGAGGCAGTGGAGTCTCCATCCCTGGAAGGGTTCAGAACCCTTGGGAATGGGCTTTGGTGGTAGCCAGACTTAAAGATCTTAACCAACTTTTCCAACCTTACCAATTCCATGATTCCACCATCTCTGTCCTTTTTGAGCTCACCAGGTCAGACAGGAGGAGAGCTTTGGATTCATCCACATCAAATTGACTCAGGATCATTTTTTTTTTCCCTATTGGAAAAGATCCTGGGCCACCAGAATTCCCCACCTGGTCCAGCCTCCCCCAGGAAGGTTTCTGGTGCTTCCAGCAGCCGAACCACCCAACCTCAGAGCTCCCTTTCATCCCCACACCAGCCATGGTGCTTTCAAACTTCCCAGGATGGAAGAAAGGAGTTATCCATGATTTCCCCTCCAGCATCTGCATCCCATCTCTCGCCCTGCTGCAGTAGCTGCAGCCCTGCTGGCTCCCTGCCCTCCCCAAAACCTGCTCATTTCCTTTATGATGTATGGAGCTTTTACGAGCAGGAGCCCAGCATCTCCTCCAAAGATTATTTGATTTGCTCAGATCCCGAAAATCCCACCAGGAAAAAGGAATCCGTGTCGGGTAATTTAAAACCACTCCTAAAATAAGGCTGAGGCTGGAGGGGTTTGCTGGTAAAATTACACAGCAATCCCAGCTCCAGGGAAAAGCCAGGCTGGAGCGGAGCCCCGCACGCTCCGGGTTTCTGGGGGCAGGGGGTCGTGTTTGGGATTGTTCCTGGAGTCTCCAGGCCTGGATGAAAACAGGGATGATTGTTTACACAGACCCCGTGCAGCTGAGCTGGGCTTTGCAGAGCTGGGCTTTGCTAAGCCAGGCCAGACACCCGGAGGGGGACAGGCAGGTGGCAGGGGAGGGACGAGGCACCGGAGCACTGCAGGGATTTGGGGGGTGAGCTGTTCCTCCATCCACACCCCAGAACAGGGAGCTCAGAGAGTCCTTGGGATGATCCCAGAGGGGCAGAATGCTGGGAGACAGGAGCAATCCTGGGAATGGAGCCACCTCTGGATCCGCCCCTGTCCCTGCTGGTGACATCCACTCCTGAGGGAAGGGACAGCGAGCGGAGCCATCCTGCATGCTGGAATCCCAAAAACTGCTCCCAGGTCCCTTCCCTACACACGAGGGGAAATTCCTTCCCCAAAAGTGTTGTCCAGCCCTGGCAGGGGTGGAGTGCCCATCCCTGAAGGATTGAAATCCATGGATGTGGCACCTGGGGACACGGCCTGGGCAGTGCTGGGAATGGCTGGACTCGATGGGCACCGAGGGATTTTCCAGCCTGAACAATTCTGGGAGTCCATGAAACGAAGAAGGAATCATCTCTGGTTTATGACTGATGGGGCAAAAAGCTGTAGAATTAAAAAGGACTTGGCAGCCATGTGAGCTGAGATTCCTGGAGCAGGAAGGACAGCCCCACCTGGGACAAGACTGGGTGAGGTGGGATAAAAATCCAGCAGGAATGACTCTGAGTGAGAGAGTCATGGAATGGGCTGGGTTGGAGGCAACCTTAAATCCCACCCCATCCATGGCAGGGACACCTCCCACTGTCCCAGGCTGCTCCAAGCCCCAATGTCCAGCCTGGCCTTGGACATTCCAGGGATCCAGGGCAGCCACAGCTGCTCTGGGAATTCCAGCCCAGCCCCTGCCCACCCTCCCAGCCAGGAATTCCTTGCCAAGATCCCACCATTCCGTCCATGGCATGAATGTAAGGGCAGCTCTTTGCTGAGCCACAGCAGGGCAGCTGGAAATCACAGAATCCCAAAATCATCATGGTTGGAAAAGATCATCCAGTCCAACCATCCCCAGCACTGCCAGGGCCACCACTGCCCCTTGTCCCCAAGTGCCACAGCCACAGGGCTCTGAAATCCCTGCAAGCCCCAGCAGTGCCAGCACAGGGGACAAGGGCACTGCCCTGGCCCTCTGTCACCCCAGAGTGGCCTCTTGCCCACATGGGCACTCAGGCTCGTGTCCAGCCAGCTCATCCCCAAGGAGATAAAATTCCCAAGGCAGAGCTGAGGGACAAACAGGACAGGCAACGCAGCGCTGAGGTCCTGCTCAGGTTTAGCCCATTTGGGGCCGCTCTGAGAAGGTGACACATCCACACCGAGCTAGAACGACAGCAAAGAAAGGAGATTTCTGCCCAAAAAACCGAGGCTGCAGAGGCAGGAGCACAGGAGAGGAGGAAGGAGCAGGGAGGGCCCCGCTGCCAGCGCCGGCTCCTCAGGGGTTCAAAGCCCGAGATCAAATGCAGGATGAATGGCTGGAACCAAACCCACTCTCAGCACTCGATCCACAGATGATTCCCCGGGGAAAGCCTCACAAAGAGGGCTCAGGCTTTCAGAAAGGGCTTTCTGGGGATGTTTTTGCCATGTGCTGTTTTATGGATCACATAGGCATGGAAATCAAGGGAGATCCTGAGGGGACAGGGATGGACTTCACAGTGAGCCACCAACAAAGGGGCTGGTGGCAGAATGGGAACCAGCTCCGAGCAAACAAACAATGTGCAATTCTTGGCTGGAAACAATGGCTTGAAAAAATAAAAAAAAACAAAAAAATAAGGGAGAATAAAAAATGAAATAAAAAAAAAAAGACTTATTTTGTGGTAATTCCAATGGATTCATCCTGCAATGAATCGCTGGGTGAATTCTCCTCAGGACATCCCTCAGGAAGGTGTTCCTGAGAGGAAACCCCTTTTTGGGATGGAGACTTGGATGTGTCAAGTAAGAATCCTGCTGGGAAACGCCACAGGTAGCTTTAAATCCATAAATAAATGTGTTAAAAGCAGCAGTCAGCACCCTGACTTTGAGCTCTTCCCTTTTCTCCAGAAAATCTGCTTTTTCTGACAGATTTTGTGATTTAGAACTTCAGCTTTTCCAGCTTCCCACACTCCTGCACACCAGGAAGGTCCTTCCCAATTCCCAGGAAGGTCCTTCCCACCAGGACAGGCTCCACTCAGCCACAAAACCTCACTGAGCTTTTCTCAGCTCACAACCCCCCACTTTTTGGGAGCCACTCCACTCAGCCCCATTCCCCAGGTGACTCCTCCGGGAGGGATTTTGGATTTCCAGCCCAGGTCCCACCTCATTCCTGCAGGAAGGGACGGCCCAGCCGCCTCTCCCTGCCCTGCTTGGATTTGTGGAGAAAAACCAGGAAGGTTTTGACACTCCTGTGCTCCCCAAATTTGGAATATTTGTATTTTAAGGCACAGGAACCAAGCTTGAGCCCCAAGCCCACCTGACCCCAAACAGCTCCAGCCTCCTCCTGGTCCCTTCTCCTGAAGCCTCTCCAGTTTCCTTCCCGCCCTTCTTCCAAATTCTCATCCTACAAATGGCTTTTTCCACACATTACTGAACACTTTTCCAAGACCTGGCTAAATCCCACCGTTCCCTCATCTTTCTGCACAGCTTTAAAGGCCACGAGACTTATTTTAGCTCAAGAAACTGGGATAAGATCCATGAGGAAAAGCACTTTTCCTAATGAAAACAGGCTTGGCTTGAAGTTTCTTGGTGCTTTTAATGCGCCACACTGATCCAGTTTGGCCAAATAACTGCTAAATTTTCAATGGCCAACCCATCGCTCCAGGAAGAATTAAAATAAATATTTATATTTTAATTTTTTTTTTCTTAATAGAAATGCCCTGGATAAGAGGAGAGAAGATTGATGTGGTTCTGAGAATGACAGAGTGCCTGAGATGGGGCCACCTAAAAAGAGCTGCCCAGGGCAGTGTCAGGGCAGGAGCTTCACAGAACTCACAGGGTTGGGAGAGCCTGGCTGGGCTCTTGTGCTGCCCAAGGTGGATCCATGGAGGAGATCCTTTTAATAAATCCCTGCTTTATTCCGTAACTCTGTCCAGCTCAGCCTTCTGCAGGCGTCAACCCCTTCCGTAAAAAACCTTTTCCCTGACATCCAGCCTGTGTTTCCTCTCACCTTGAGCTTCTGGGCCTCGCCCCGGACCTTGAGCAGCTCGGTGATGGAATCCACGAAGCCCTGGTAGTGGAAGTTGCACATCTTCTCGATCTCGCGGTCGTGGTTGCGGATCCGCGCCTCCAGCTTCTCCATGAAGCGCCCGTGCTCCTCGCCATCGTACACGGACCTGCAGGGACAGCCAGCTCAGCACCCTGCTCTGCTGCCAGGATCATCCTAAACCTGACCCCAGAAATGTCCTCTGGACACCCCAGCCCAGCACCCCCAGCTCTGCTGCCAGAACATCCAAAACCTGACCCCAAAAATGCCCTCTGGACACCCCAGTCCAGCACCCCGCTCTGCTGACAGGAACACCCCAAACCTGACCCCAAAAATGTCCTCTGGACATCCCAGCCCAGCACCCTGCTCTGCTGCCAGGATCATCCTAAACCTGACCCCAGAAATGTCCTCTGGACACCCCAGCCCAGCGCCCCCAGCTCTGCTGCCAGGAACATCCTAAACCTGACCCCAGAAATGTCCTCTGGACACCCCAGCCCAGCACCCCCAGCTCTGCTGCCAGGAACACCCAAAACCTGACCCCAAAAATGTCCTCTGGACACCCCAGTCCAGCATCCCCAGCTCTGCTGACAGGAACACCCAAAATCTGCCCTCAAAAATGTCCTCTGGACAAGCCAGCCCAGAACCCCCAGCTCTGCTGACAGGAACACCCAAAACCTGACCCCAAAAATGTCCTCTGGACACCCCAGTCCAGCATCCCCAGCTCTGCTGACAGGAACACCCAAAATCTGCCCTCAAAAATGTCCTCTGGACAAGCCAGCCCAGAACCTCCAGCTCAGCATCCCTAGCTCAGCATCCCCTGCTCTGCTGCCAGGACCACCCAAAACCTGACCCCAAAAATGTCCTCTGGACATCCCAGCCCAGCACCCTGCTCTGCTGCCAGGATCATCCTAAACCTGACCCCAGAAATGTCCTCTGGACACCCCAGCCCAGCACCCCCAGCTCTGCTGCCAGGAACATCCTAAACCTGACCCCAGAAATGTCCTCTGGACAAGCCAGCCCAGAACCTCCAGCTCAGCACCCCCAGCTCAGCACCCCCAGCCCAGCACCCCCAGCTCTGCTGCCACGAACACCCAAAATCTGCCCTCAAAAATGTCCTCTGGACAAGCCAGCCCAGAACCTCCAGCTCTGCTGCCAGGAACATCCTAAACCTGACCCCAAAAATGTCCTCTGGACATCCCAGCCCAGCACCCCCAGCTCTGCTGCCAGGAACATCCTAAACCTGACCCCAAAAATGTCCTCTGGACACCCCAGTCCAGCATCCCCAGCTCTGCTGACAGGAACACCCAAAATCTGCCCTCAAAAATGTCCTCTGGACAAGCCAGCCCAGAACCTCCAGCCCAGCATCCCTAGCTCAGCATCCCCTGCTCTGCTGCCAGGACATCCTAAACCTGACCCCAAAAACACCTTTTGGACATGTCAACTCAGCATTTCCCACTTCTGCTGCCAGAATCCACCAGAAACATCCAAAACCTCACCCCAGAAGGAACAGAAAGGAATGTTCCTCACTCAGGAACATCCTGATCCTAAAAACGCCCTCTGGACATGTCAACTCAGCATTTCCCACTTCTGCTGCCAAGGATCCACCAGGAACATCCAAACTGACACCAAAAATGTACTCTGGACATGCCAGCTCAGCATCCCCTGCTCTGCTGCCAGGATCATCCTAAACCTGACCCCAAAAACACCCTTTGGACATGCCAGCTCAGCATTCCCAGCGCTGCTGCCAGGATCCACCAAGAACAACCAAAACCTGACCCCAAAAACACCTTTTGGACAAGCCAGCTCAGCATTCCCACTTCTGCTGCCAGGATCCACCAGGAACATCCAAAACCTGACCCCAAAAGGAACACAAAGGAATGTTCCTCACCCAGGAACATCCTGACCCCAAAAACACCCTCTGGACACACCAGCTCAGCATTTCCCACTTCTGCTGCCAGGATCCACCAGGAACATCCAAAACCCAACCCCAAAAACGCCTCCTGGACACACCAAATCAGCACCTTCAGCCCAGCTGCCAGGATCTACCAGGAACATCCAAAACTTCACCCCAAAAATGCCCTCTGGACACAACAGCTCAGCACCCTCAGCTCAGCTGCCAGGATCTACCAGGAACATCCAAAACCTGACCCCAAAGGGAACAGAAAGGAATGTTCCTCACCCAGGAACATCCAAAACCTCACCCCAAAAGGAACAGAAAGGAATGTTCCTCACCCAGGAACATCCAAAACCTCACCCCAAAACACCTTCCAGACATGCCAGTTCAGCATCCCCAGCTCTGCTGCCAGAAACACCCAAAATCTGACCCCAAAAACGCCCTCCTGGGACAAGGGGACAGGTCGTACAACAGGTACCAAACTGGGTTTAAAAATGTTTCTATTCCAAGTCTTTTTTTTCCTTTTTCCATCATTTTCTGTTCCCTGAGAAACCAGAACATCCTAGCAGCACTTGAAATGTTTCTAATCCAACCTTTTTTCCCTTTTCCATCATTTTGGTGTTCCCTGAGTAACAAACCAAGCCCAAAATGTTTGTATTCCAACCTTTCTTTTCCTTTTCCCACCAATTTCATGTTCCCTGATAAACCTGAACAGCCCAAACCAGGCCTGAAATGTTTCTCCTTTTTCCACCCATTTTGGTGTTCCCTGAGACACCAGAACAAGCCAGAAGGACTTCAAGAGTTTCTATTCCAACCTTTTTTTCCCTTTTCCACCCATTTTGGTGTTCCCTGAGAGACAAACCAAGCCCAAAATGTTTCTATTCCAACCTTTCTTTCCATTTTCCCACCCACTTTGGTGCTCCCTGAGAGACAAGAACAAGCCAGCAGGACCTGAAATGTTTCCATTCCAACCCTTTTTTTCCTTTTCCCACCATTTTGTGTTCCCTGAGAGACCAGAACAGGCCAGGAGCACCTGAAACAAAAGTTTGCCTTTGAGCTGAGCCACCTCTGATCCCCCTGCCCAGAAATCCCCCCTGGAGAATCCCCTGGATGTTCTTTGGGCTCCGAGGGTGACAGGGACAATGGGAAGCAGGATCTCCAGAGCTGCCCAAATCCCTTCACACCCCAAATTTTGCCAGCCCAGTTTTTAACCCCTGTTGATAAAACAGAGCTGGAGGCTGGTGGGGCCACCTCAGTCCAAGATATCCAAATCCAATTAATGGGACATTTTTTAGTGTTAAATCACGGAATTTCAGGATTGTTTGGATTGAAAGGATCTTAAATCCCACCCCATCCATGGCAGGGACACTTCCCACTATCCCAGGTGGATCCAAGCCCCAGTGTCCAACCTGGCCTTGGACATTCCAGGGATCCAGGGATTCTCTGGGAATTCCAGCCCAGCCCCTGCCCACCCTCCCAGCCAGGAATTCCTTCCCAAAATCCCATCTCTCCCTGCCCTCCCTTCAGCTTAAAATGAAATATGAGGATGGAAGTAAAACCCAAATTTCTGTCTCTCAAATGTTTCCCTGGAAAGCAGAGGGACCAAGTCCCACTCTGGGAATTCCGGGGTTGTTCTCCTGGTTTTTCACACCAAATACAGATATTTTTAATGGACTGTGGCAATCCCACCCTTGGCCCTGCCTTTGGCATGTTTTGGTTCCTAAACCTGAATTCCCTCCCAATCCAAGAGTAAAGCTTGGAGTGAAGTTTATGGATTTGAGCTTGGGTCAGGTATTAGGGCCAAATTAGGGATAGAGCAGATTCCAGGCAGCCTTTGGAAAAAAAAAAGATGGGAATGACAGAGCTGACCAAGCTGTGAGAATAAAATATTAAAATAGCAACACTCCAGAGAGAACCAGAACCCCGTGAATGCAGGTGGACACAGGAAATCCTTTTTCCTGCAGTGGGATCTGTGCCCTCCCTTTGGAGAATCCCATCCCTGCAACCCACACAGGCCCCAAGAAACAGGAAAAAATCCCAAGACAGAGCTAAAAGCTGGAGAAAATCTATTTAGTTATTATTCTTTCAGGCCATTTCAGCTCCGCAGGTTCAGTAAAAGATCCTCAGTGGCAAAACAAAAATGCCAGAATTGTAAAAGCTCTTGAAATTCAGTGTAAAAGAACGCAGGCAGCCAGAGCAGGTGATGGGGAGGGCATGGCCTGCTCCTGCTTGGCCTAAAGGAGGAAAAAAGAGAGAAAAATCCTCAGATTCCAGGAGAGGCAGCACTGGAGTGATGCTGGTGGATTTTCCTTAAAGTTTCGTGGAGTTTTGGCTGCTGAAATGTGAAATTTGGAGCCCGAGTGCCATCTAGTGCTGCACGGCCTCTCAGCAGGGCCTCGGTGACTCCAAAGATCTCAGCTGGAAAATGAGAATTCCAATAAAAAAAATGAAGGTGGATAAGTTGTGTTTGCACTCAGGGATAAAGTGAAACAATAAAAACCCCACAGCAGTAACGATGTGTTTGTGTCAAAGGCAAATTTGGGATTTACGTCTGAAAATGGGGGGAAAAAACACCTCAAAATTCTTTAAAATGTCCAGGAAAAATTCCCTTTGGAGGTGGCAAAGCTAAGAAACAAATATTTGATGATAAAAGGAAAGAAAAGCTAAGAAATAAAAACAAAGAATAGAAATAAAAGCCAAGAAAGCTAAGAAATAAATATCTAATTTAAACCCCTTTGGTTATTAGAAATTCTATTATTTTATTCCTTTTTAGCCAAACTTGAGTGTGGAAAAAATAAAGTTTGGTGTCAGCCAGGAAGGAAACACCAGCACACAATGGGAAGTTCTTCCCTTCTAAGCTCTCCTGACCCTCCAGAATTCCTTTTCCAGGAAAATCCAGCCCTCCTGAGCTCTCCTGCTCCTCCAGGATCATTTTTCCATGAAGATCCATTCCTGGCCCTTCCCCCCTGAGCTCTCCTGCTCCTCCAGGATCATTTTTCCATGAAGATCCATTCCTGGCCCTTCCCCCCTGAGCTCTCCTGCTCCTCCAGGATCATTTTTCCATGAAGATCCATTCCTGGCCCTTCCCCCCTGAGCTCTCCTGCTCCTCCAGGATCATTTTTCCATGAAGATCCATTCCTGGCCCTTCCCCCCTGAGCTCTCCTGCTCCTCCAGGATCATTTTTCCATGAAGATCCATTCCTGGCCCTTCCCCCCTGAGCTCTCCTGCTCCTCCAG